AACGTCACTATAAATTCATCCAATCGAACAGAAATAATTTCAAAAAGTAGTATCAGACGTTTTTACGCAAGTGCTTAAATTAGCAAAGTTTTTAAATAGAGAAAATCAAAAAGTTTTATGCAATGTGAAGAAACTGTTTTGAAATTGCTCTATTAAAAAGGGACTCTCACTCAATAAAGCCTAAAACGTACGTTGTGAAAGAGACTCGTTAAGATTAGGAACTTCAATCTTGGAAGGCATTCATCGTCATTGTTTGCGACAATCGACGATCGGTCAATGGTGTACGGAATCCACAATGGCTCTTATCGAACAGCGTCTAAGGGGAAAAGATGCACGTGTGTTTTTCGAAAAACAAAAAAACAAAAGTTTTCGTTGCTCGAAAAACTAGAGTTGAGAGAGTTTAAATACGCCTTGGGTTATTAATTACGGAAAAGTATTTGCTTGGAATTGCTTTTATAAGCCATTGTAATTCTTAACCGCACTATTACTATGCCTATTACTTTGTGAATACACTTTGCTGACATGACATGGTCATCCCTTTTCATAAAAGAAGAGAAAAAAAAAATTTCTAGTGATCACGGCGTCAGGTTTTAGCATTTGACTGTTTCAAAAGACAACGAAGTTTAGGACAGAACGTTAATCATTCAACTATGCTAACATATAAAAAAAAATTCTTCCGTATGTTTGTGTCCACAAAACTCAAAAGTTAGCCGATGGATTGACTTAATATTTGTTCGCAACAAAAATTTTTTCTCCGAAGTTTCAATGGAAACGAATCGTCGCCGGGTTTATATACTTTTTATTCCGAACTTGCAATGGAAACGAAACAAAAGGCCACAGCGAAGCGTCGCCGGTTACAGCTAGTAACATATAAACCAAATCGTTACGCAATTACAACACTCGTCGTCAGCGCAGACTTAGGGCTCCGATTGCTGGGCGAAGGGAAATTCGGCGAGAGGCCATTTGTAATTGTATTATTCGGGGCCTGCCTTAATAGGGCCAGCGCTTCGGTGGTGAACGTTCGAGATCAGCGGCAGCAGCCGAAACAAATTCGCGTATTCTATCATCTGGCGCTCACAAAGGCCGGGCCTGATAACTGAACAATGAAATGTAACAAGTCGTCTATTCGGCATTGTGCCTAGCGCGGGTGAGGGGGAGGCGCGGGTGGCGGTGGTGGCGGGGGATTTCCATTATATTTCCATTTCCACCTCGATTCACGTCGACTTATCGCGGCCTCTCGGACTAGGTGAGTCTATCTTTCTATACCGTTAGTCATCGAGCCACCTCGAATAGTACTCCGTCGGTATTTCGAATGTAAAAGAGAGATTTTATATATTAACAAACGTACTTAGTTACTTGGAAACGTTCCAATCGGCTGGTTAAGTCGTAATTTTCCAAATTTTACAGCTGCATCTGTATTGAAGACGTCATCTGTATTGCATGAGTTCCTATAAAAAATTGATATAATTGTAAGATACATTAGGCTTAGGGCAAGGATCAAATAAAAAAAACCATGTCTCTACATCACGATAGCGTTAAGTAACAAAAAAAAAACGATTACAATGTTACGATTGAGCAAGAAAGACGATAAAACTCTGTGACTACGTATGTTGCAAAACTAAAAAAATCGCATCGCAAACAAACTAGACTACTGGATCGAACTAATCGATCATATCACGCACTCGCGTACAGTACACAGTGTAGCGGACTTGCTTTTGTTCAAACACTGATAGAGACCACACGCGATCCCCGCATCTCCTACATCGGATGCCAGTCTCTCAGCGAGCGATTCAATCTCCGTCGCACCGGCAAAACATTGCGAAACACGCGCTGCGTTTCGTATGTTTTGGCCGCCATTCAAAACAATTGTCCGGACGGCGAACTACTTCTGGGATCGTCTTCCACGTGATCGTAATGAGTGTGTCCAACTTCGAAGAAGAAATCTAATTCTTCAAGATTCTAAATAGGCGTAGCCCAAAGGGAGTTTGGGTCACTAGGTAATTAATACAATGCCCTTAATGTAATATTGAAGTATTTAAGAAGTACTAGAAAACTTATCATTGAATGTAAAATATATTTACATCATAATATTACCGCATCTTTTCTTTTTTGTTTTATTGAAACATAGACAAACACAATGTAAATCGATTTGTCAATGTGATTGTCCTTCTAGTATTCTAGTCTGTTGTCTTGCATTATAACATGGATAACGATACCAAAATTTGAAGAATTCTTATAAAATTTAACTTGAATCCCTAATGCTGCGGTGCGTCTCAAATTAGATAGACCGGATTAAGATCGGCAGTAATTTCCTCTAACGCTGATTTTTTTAACCAGAACTAGAAACATAACATTTCAAATTTCGATTAAAGTCAATTAACAGTTTTATAACAACGCTATTTACTCGACTATTTAAAGAATAAATAAAATTACTACTGTAAATGCAATTAAATGCAATAAGTACATTTATAAAACCAAATGCTACATGTAGACGAATTTTAATAATAAATAATGGACTATAGTAACATATTAGCGGGTATACGCAGCCCAGAGCCGGATGATTAATGAGGCGTCCGCTTCGTATGTACCCGCAACTATTTTAAAACAAAACGTGACGTTGCCATTGGTCGATTTTTCTCGAATGGCGGACGAAAATTTGAAGATTATTAATGACGGAGCCCCTTAGGAGATAACGTGGGACTTAAGCCGAAGTTGGTTTTAAGTGCTGCGTTCGCTACTGTACGCGCAATGTGTGGCGGGCATTTTTCAATGGTTAAATAGGTCTTAACTATGCTTTTTGCGCTGTTCTACTTATGTTTTTTAATCTTTCCCGCTAGTATCTGTTATGCTCTCCATTCGGTGCAATCGATATTACGAACTAACAAGCTTTAAAGCATTCCTACCTATTATTCTACCTGGCATAGGATAAAAAAGTAACTTATTCCAATTTCAAATTCGCATTCCTTGCGCTAGTCTAAATTCAATTTCGTATTTCAATTTAATTTAAATTCACTATAACGTATCTAATGCTTGCTACTAACATTCTAAACACCATTAACCCTCGTCTCATCAAGACCTTCGAAGTTTCGAATTAATTAACCGCTGGCGCCAACTCCGAAGCGCGTGGAGCTAAGTCAAAATTGGCTCGTCTTATCGGGCCAGCCAGATAAGGGTTTTGACATGGGCATCGAGTCTCCAGTACTTGCACTTTGTCGGACGTAGCTTGGTCGCACGGCCCACACAGCTTGGACTGATAGCAAAAAAGTTACATAGTCGATTGTCGATGACATATCGTGACAATTTTATCAGAACAGAAAATAACTCTTCAGTTCTAAGGTCTGCATTTTTGATCTGAACATCAAAACTGCAACTCGAAGTGGCATATAAAAAATTTCTATTGCTAAGCACCTACCATACTTTGATTTTTTTCAATTACTGCATATATATTCGAACGTAAAATTATTCTCCATAAAGTATGTTCCGACGAAAGTTTATTGTTTTGTTGTCGTTACCGATCTCCGTGTCAGAAGTGACTATTATCTGTGACACAATTTCACGGACAAAAGCCCACGCTCTATGTACTAGAAGGAGGATTCAATCCTGATGATCGCATATTTAGCGTTGCATGACCAGCTTGTCAAAATTTACTGCGAAATATCAATGATCCCTGTCTCTATCTTAAATACTTCAGCTTCAAAATAAACAAAAAGATAGAATCTGGGGGTTTTTTTCATCAATTGCTCTGATGGTATTGTCAGGATATTCTCACGATAAGTTATTATTATATAAAATACCTCAAAGCGGCCACTATTGCAACACTCCAGACTCACCGTGCAGCCTCCATATTGCTATAACTTTTCCAACGCATTTGTTGAACTTCAATGGAACATTCGTCACTTCGAGAATTAGTACGCGCGAAGCAAATGCCAAAGCCAAACTGAAGGACTCCAACTTTCGGTAGCGCAATTTGAACGACCTTCCAATTACAATGGAACCAGTAAATCAGGGAACGCTGCCATAAATTAATCCTCGGACAAATTCGCAAAACAGTAGGCGACGGTGGCAACTCGAGGGCGCATTGTTCCACCGCGGCGTCAGCTAAACAGAAGGTGAACGCCTTTGTGTCGGGAGTTGTAAATTTTATGAAAAGTGAAATCCCCTTTGAAACGGCTCGCCTCCTCGGTCCATAAATAACTTGGGAATAGAACCAAGGCCATTGTTTCACGGACTTATTGTTTTACGTCGATACGCAAAGTTGGGGGTGTCGCGAAACGCGAGTGCGGTCGCGTCGAACTACCTGTCTGTGTTTGGTACGCGGAAGCCGCCAGCAGCGGTGAACTGTTCGGTTTTCGTTTTCACTAAAATCGAGATCGCAAAGAAGTTTTTTTATAATTTTCAGATTCATAAGCCCCGTCGTCGACCACTCCCGAACAATGGTACGGGATTGAATGGGCGTTGCAAGTCCCATTTACACGTAGCTAAATGAACAATGAATTTGACCTTGTTTCCAGTTGAACATGTTAGCTAATTTTAACTGTGGTAGCGCCACGCAACAGATTCGGCTGTAGCACGAATGGATAGATCCGTTCGGGTAAGCACCACGACATCACAGAATATCGGCTTGAAATGTAAGTGTCTTCTGCGTTTCGTCCGGTGAGTGAGGGAGCCAGTGTCAATGTATTTTATTAAAAGGTGGCAACACATGTGTAACCCTACGGGTGTTGCAAATATCCATGGGCCGCGGTTATCACTTAACATCAGGTGGACCGCCAAATCACTTGACACTTTATACATTCTAAACGTCGAGCCAGTCAGAAAGGGGAAGTACCATGAACAAACAAGAGACTAGCAGTAAGCATATTTGTATGAGTATTTACGCTTTGGCGTCTGCTCCTGAGTAAGGTACGCATGACCTTGTATAGAGCTGACCAACAACTATAAAATAGACCGTTCTTACTCTTTCTTATAATTAAAAAGGGAGAAAATCACGAAGGACTTACCGAACTGACTCCGCATCCAGGGGTACAACGGGCTGGGCAGCGAGGCGTTGGTGTTCGGCGGCGGCTGCTGCGGGGGCGGTTGCTGCGCGTGCATCGATTGTTGGTGCATCGGCGGCATCTGGGTCTGGTGCTGCATGTCGTCCACCGGGTACATGAGGTGCTGCTGGTGGGGCACGCCGTGCTGCACCATGTGCTGCTGCGGGTGCATGTGGTGGGGCATCTGCTGCGCCTGCTCGAGCGGCGGGCTGCCGGGGACCCCGCCCGCGGTCGCCGCCGCCGCCTGCAGCTTGCACGACGTGTAAACCGCCGGCGCGGGCGGTTGGTGCCCGTTCGGCCCGTAGCCGTCCGTCTTCTGGCCCATGTGGCCCATCTGCGAGGGGCTGTCCGGCCGGTAGCCGTTCTGCTCCATCTGCTGGTAGTAGCCAAGCCGGTCGTAGGGCGGGAAGCGCGGGTACGGCATCCCAGGCGCCGGCTGCGCGGCGTAGTGGTGCTGGGCGGGCCTCAGCTGCTCGCAGCCGTCCATCTCGTGGCCCTGCTGCGGCACCGCGCCGTAGTGCGCGTGCGCCTGCTGGTGCTCGTGGCCGGCCCCGTTCCTCATGTCGGGCATGTACGCGTTCGAGAAGTACGTCATGCTGTCGCAGTTGTTCGCGCTCATCGCGGGCCCGCAGCCCGCGCTGCTCGTCGTGCCTTCCGTCGCAGCCGCTCGGCCGCCGTGGGCCGACACTGTCACCTTAACAGTCACCGCACAAACACCTCGGATTCCATTCACTACGCGGCAGCGTTCGGACCCGCTGGTTCACGCGGTGCCCGCAGACGGTGTCTCCTCATCAGTGCCGCGGCGAACCTGGAACGGAGAGATGAACTCTTAGTCGAGCTGTCCCGGCTGGCGTGGTGGCGGTTCGTGGCGCGGACATCGTCATAGCGCCCGCCCCGACGCCCGACGCTGACTGACACGTGTCCCCGGCCCATGACACACACGATGCCATAAAATCTCATGTGTTCCGAGTAAAACGCCTATTAGCGACAACCTGTCTGCGATACATGCCCCCGTTAGCTGGAGATAACTGAGCGGTGCGCGCTCAAACGTTAGGATTCCGTCTTTGTCTGGCTGTAGGAAACGGTTCCTCAAAAGTGAGACGGGGAGATGAAATAGTGTCACGTCCCGTTCGACATGTGGCTGACCCGACGTCATATCCACGACATTTCCCAGCAGTTGATGGAGCATGAGTGACAACCGCGCCGCTGCCTTGCGACATAACTTTGCGCCGACGTTAATTTGTGTACCGACGGACGAATGTTGCCGAAACCACCGACTTATCGCTAGATCTTGTTCTACTGGTTTTTAACTATACAATTTATGACTCTTACGATTTTGTGCGACAGCTACTAGAATTTAAAAATTGCGGAATAATAAAAAATACGTTCTCAAGTTAAAGTAGCCATTTAAGGAAACGTTTGAGAGATTTTGTTGGATTTCCACCTCCACGATGAGTTGTTCATATCTCATCATTTGCACTATCTTATGGAACCAAGTACCGAATTCCAAAGTTACGTCGGCACATTTTTGATATGGTTAGTTACTCTCATGTACAAAGTAAAAAATCTACATGGCGCACTACACAGGACCGGAGCCCGCCCCTCGAGGTTGACGCCAAGTTATTTAAAACTCAAAAGTTCAAGCTTCATTAGCGAAAGTTAATGAAGGCGGCACCACGACCGTCTGCATGTTCTTTGTACACGTTATCCAGATTTGAACAAGAATGTAGGCAACATTTTAAGCTTCTCTATCCTAAATACATGTCTCGGTAAAACTTTAAATTATTATGTGCGTACTATTATAGTGTGTAAGCAAATTAATTGAAAAAACACAAAGAACACTTTCTGATATATGTGTATTGTTTATTCTCATATGAATAGCGAAATCTCTTAATTTTGTATCTCTTAATTTTGTATACATTATTACGCAGTTTATTATTAATATATGTAAAACGTTTTTTATAATATAAATGACGATATGATATTCCAACGTGTAAGCAAACGTAACAATTGAAAGCGGCCTCGGAAAAATTTGCATTTGGAGAGATGGACAATTTGAATTTACGATTTCGCCACCCCTACGCGGGGGCGACCCTCTTTTTTTAATTTTTCAATTTACGTGTACATTCCGACGCATAGATCGGGTCCAATCTGCGATTCGTGCTTTGCATGAATGTACACGGAAGTTTTGTTTTATTTGAAATAATAAAGAAGTATCTATAAGAGAGAAGTAAATAAAGATAAAAAAATTACCAAATTTACCGAAAATTAAAAGAAATGTTTCAATTTTCATACAGTTTTTTTTAGATTAAAATACAAGGCAGACAAAGTAGGATGTATTTTTTTTAATTTACCAATTTTTTTTAAATAATCGTACTATCACTTAAACGAGACTGGCTAGGAGAACTGTAGTTGACCGACCCCATATTTAACTTGGATTGAATTTTTCCCCAAAGAAAAAATGGAATCGAGTAGACCAGCTAGGCCAACGACGAAAACGAGATAATAACAAGCAATAGATTATCTTTTAATTTTAACATCCGTAGCGTTCGGGCAAAGCAATAATGGCTCTAATGTGCAATTACGACGGACGATGTTATCAGAGCGGAGTCGGTTCAAGGAACGTGTCTTTAAACTGACCGACGTGGAAATTAAGCCTCACGTGCTTTTGATAATTTGATAACGCGCCCGCTTTGATTTATTTAACGGGGAGCCCGTTTTGTGAGTCAACGCGCGGTCGGGTTCCCATGCCCCCGGGCCGGACCCTGAGCTACTAGGAAACGAGAGTTTTATAATTACAACTGTAACGTTATACGATTTACGTTTCACTGGAAGGCGACACTTCGTCTGCGACGGATACGGGGAAAAGTTTCGGGTGGAACAGGTAAAGTGGACTAAAAACATTCCCTAACTCGCCTCTCTCGGGAGATGCCCGCCGCGATATGTATTTCGAAGTACTATCGCCTCTGGGAAGTGAAACTTGAAATAAACAAAAGCCTAACGACGAAAAGTAGGCACGAGTTGAGGATGAACAGCTTAACGCTTCAATACAAAGACGATTTAAAACCGGTTGGTACATTTTCTAAACATGTTATAAGAAAATTGAGTATCCGGTCATTTTATCCCAGCTATAATTTATAGCAATATCACAAAGAGAAAGAAAACGAAATCTGTTATTTCGCAGACCAGCCGATGAAAACGTTATTGCGGAACAGCTGATTTCTCTACGTGTGGAAAGACGCTAAATTATTATTGTAATACGACATACTGCGTGCCATTTTTCAAAAATATTACGTTTGAATCTCCATCGAACAAATCTTAGCTTTATATTTGCCTTGCTGAACAGTTAAAATCGGACGTAAAAACTGAGTTAAGCGCTCTATGAATCATATATACTGCTTTTTAAGTAGAATATTATAATAAATCACATCGAAATACGTGTTCTATTAGACCAGAGGCCGAATTAAAAAGAATATTAATAACATTTCGCGTACGACACTCCGTTACTGTTAATCAAGTGGCGATCAAAGGATTTATTTCGGGAGGATTCCCAACGCGTGTATTTATCATTTCTACTATTTGTCAATTAAGGGGCTATTGTGGGCACAAAGTGGGCTTGATGTATGCACTGTATCGGCACGGCTCCGACTTGAAAGCGGAAGAAAAATTGTTTTATTTCGTCTAGTTTTTAGCGCGTACGATGGTATTGAATATATCACCGCTTTCCCATTTCATATGATATGATACATGATTATTTACATATTTCAATGACACATTTTAACACGAATTTAGAAGAAAAAAAAAAACGAAAGTTCTTTGTATTTTTTCGAACTATCGAACGATTTCTTGCGTCAATAAGAAGTCATCTCGGCTTCATTTAATTGGTTGTATTCTCATTCGAATCAATTCAACTTAGATTAGTGTTGGACGGTTTTATTTCTTATTGGATTTCGAGTGAAATAAGAGAAAACTTATATAAATAAACATACTTATAAAAGTAAAACGTGGTAAACACTCATTTATATAAGACCCATCACATAAAAGTTTTTTTTTTTAATTTGAAAAGTTGTCAAGCGAGCAGGCGGTTCACCTGATGTTAAATGAATACCGCAGCCCATGGCAACACCTAAGGGGTAGTAGAAGCATGATTAATCTTAATATGGTTTTTTACAAGATTACGCATTTACCTAGGAAGAGTTTGGTAAAATACTGTTGTTTTTATTCAATGTATGAAGAAAAATATTCCTAAACGATATTAAATTAATATGAAAAAATCGACGCAGTTTAGTTAATATTAATAAAAGAAATTATTGCATAGATGCGTCTGTAATGAATTATTGATTTTAGTGGCGCTACATATCTTATGTACTATGTTACGGTCGATAACGACCGTAATATTAAATGGAAGTTTATTTAATTAGCGTAATATATATTTTCATTGCGGTAATAGGTTACATTGGACTGTCTCGTTGGATTTTAAATAAATTTATGTGAACATATATAAACGTATACTGTAAGACGTAACGAAGACTGCACGTCGATTTTTTTTTTCTAATGACAGTTATTATCGGTGATTTTTATATGAGATTAACGATTGTGGATTTTGAATTTAATCTTATTATATCCCGAAATAAAATATGTTTCTAACTTTTTGTTTCACTGCTCCATAAAATTCGTTGTTGTACTTGGCGAACCTTAATTTGATCACACGTGGAAATTTTATCTCGCACGTCACGCGTTAGTTATTAGTGCCATTGTTTTTTATTACACTATTTTTTTTTATTCTTTAAATACAATATAATAACGTTTACTGTGTCCTTGTTGGCGAAATCCGCGACAGGATGTGTCAGTAATTAATTTGTTGGCACTTGCTCGTCTATATACACTCTATTCCTTCTGATCTCAACTTGATACCGCTCGGTTAATATTAATAATAACAAAATGCAAATGATAGTAATTAGAGAGGCAGGACGTATCTTTGTTGTTATTTTCGATACCGAACTGTACTAATGACAAATTCTTTTCTCATGCAGTTCAAGCCACTTTTTGTTACAGATGAAAATGCTTTGAACAAACACGTATAGTGTCATTTCGTTATGTCACTATCACATAAAATTATTATAGCTTCTTAATTTTACAACAGTGATCCCAGTCCTAACAGCAATCACGTTTGAAAAACATTTAATGTTCTAGATACAGTGTACATAGACGAGCAAGTGGCAACAAATTAAAAAGTTTATATATTAGTATATTCAACAATTAGTTTTAAATAACACAGAGGCTACATTACATGTCATAATAAAATTGAGTTATTTAGATCTTTTGTTCCTTTTTGAAATTTATGGCTAATGTAAACATACTGGCCACTTAAGCCTAGTTCTGTTTTTTTTTTTTCATTTACTTTAGTATGTATAAGCAAAGCCCGTAGTAAGCAAAGGCTGGCCAGTTAGCTATACCAGTCATCCAATATGAATAACGGAGGTGACGTCATAAAAAATCGCGGTAACGACCCTCAGGGGCGAATCCTCGCCGAGCCCTGAGTGAAATGCGATGTACCCGCTAATTACGAGGGCCAACTTCGAAAATTAATCAGACAAGTTACTCGGTTTTCACGCGCCTCCATTATTCCTAGTAAAAGCGTCCGAGAGGTGACAAGTTCGCAGAGCGTTTAGGAGGCCCGAAATGCATAGTTAGTTACTGCAAAACTAGATAGTAAACCAGTTTATTGCGGCAGAGGGTGTGGGTTCGATCCACAACTGTTGGAAAAAGATTGTGTTACTAACATAGCCTTTTTCCAGTATCTGGGTGTTTATATATCTGTAATATGTATTTATTTACAAAAAAAATTACGTTGAACTATGTTTATCAGTTATCTAATACCTACCCAACAGCTTGTACAGCTTGTACAGTTCTACTCATTTTGGGACTAGATAACGTTGTAAAACATCCAGAAATTATTT